TAATTATACCTGTGCTGCAAAATGCTTTCGCCAAAATGACTAAATATTCCATTGTAATAAAGATGCAATAATACTCTGTGGCCGATAATGAAAATGCCATCTATCATAACACAGGTTTTATATTCTAAGCTGACAAGTGATTGGCTTGTTCAAGGCGAGGTTCCTAATTCTTTCATAATGAATAACTCTATTAACTCAGACGATATCATATTTAGTCGATCCATTGGAAAGGGCAAGTTACAAGCACTATTTCCCAATATTCTTGCATAAGAATTAGATTATTTTGGTTTGCAAATATTTTCTTCAATTTAACCTTAGCTATCAGTAGTTAGTTAATTGATTATTTATTTATATCAAATGGAAGGTTTATGATAGTTATCATTAGCCCTTTAGTTGACTTCAGGCTTCACAGAGGGGAAGGAACATCAAAGCGACAAAAGTCGATAGGGAGAGGGGGAACAGAAGAGTGTTTCAAAGATGTAAAAGAGACAGACACAAAGGTAGAAAAAAGGTGAGGTGAGTGCCGTGAAGTAGTCGAATATGACATACAGTGGGGTCAAGGTAGTTTGAAGACGGAAGTCAGCTGTCGGTTTATAGACATGTTTGCCGTATGAGTATACGTTGCCCAGGGTGCAAAACGGGGAGGTAAATCCTTCACACACTCCCTAGTTAGTTAATTATTGATTAGAAGTAACGGAAGCAACGCTAAGAACAAAATCAACTTTATATTAAAGAAATAATCATTTACCATATAATTTTGGCTAAATTTTATACTGATTACTAATATGATGGAAGTATAAAGTGATTATGCAATATGAAATATCTTAATATTCCTATTTTTTAATATAGGCAAAGCAAAACTATGTAAAGCATAATTTGACATTAAAATAACAAACTTTATTACTTTAGCATTTTAGTATATTACGAAACTGCCATATTTAAATATTTACAATTTCTTAAATATTTATCTTTTCCATATGTGTGGCGGCTTGGATGAAAACCTGGGGCTAAAGTATTAACATCAGGTTTTGTGTGGGGGGTACATAGTTTTGCTCAAATGGTTGATCCTGATGTAATTATATATGAAATTCCTGAGCCCTATGTATCAGTTACAAAGGTAGATCCTGTCATAGTCCATGGAAATGGTGATATAACGATGTAAGTTCGTATTTAAAATTAATTTCCCTAGTTTCGGTATGAGTAACGCATTTAGCAGTGAATTCCCTCCTGAACTCCATGGAAAGGTGGCTCCTGAAGAATTCCAAGAAACTATAACAAAGGTCAATCATCAACTTAGACGCTCCATGTCCATAAACCTAAAGTGGCTTTTATGCGGTTTCATATGTTGTTGCTGTACCATTGGATGTTCTATGTGGCCCGCAATTTGCGTTAATAGAAAAGTAAAACGCAACATAGAAAAAACCCTTGAAATCGAAAATGCTCGTCTCTATTGCCAATTAGGACTTAATTGGAGTCTCACAAAACAAAGGACAACGGAACCGGTTGTTTTAATGGAATACGTAAGAACCTATATTCTTCTGCTTTTATCTTTTGACTTCCATTTTGCCCATATACTAATTCTAATTAAATAGTAATTTTTATTGTTCAGTTTTCTCGTTGGTAAATGATGAATATTTGGCATGTTTATATTCAATCCTGTTATTTAGTACAGTCATTAAAGTAGCATTTCTTTCCTAGGTGTTACGACTAGACTTCATCCCAAAATGCTCTGTATACCAACCGGATTAAAAGGTGCCTTTTTGGCCTCCTTTTACCTAGCAGATTGCACTGGCAGCTTTGTACAAAATCATCGTGATTCCCTCTGCCTCCTAGTGTCTTTCGCCACACCCTCTGACATTTATCGTTGTCACTAATGTTATTAATGCTAAATGTCCACGTCTTCGATTCTGCCCCTTCTTTTCCCTTTTCCATTCTCTATTCGCCTCTCGCACACGTTACAATTGAAAACTTCGATTTCCTTGTGACTTATTCCTGTATGATCGGAATTCTAATGAATGAGTAAGTTATCTGCATCCTGGATATTGTGCCTTGGGGGGTATTATTTTAACCCACAGAAGCGTAAGCTGTAAGCATAGTCGTTTTGGTGTAAATGTCATTGCCTTCGACATTTATCATGCTCTGTATTCCGATTGTTAGAAAATCCCATGTGCATTCATTATTATTTCCTTAAAATTGTTGATTATCTTAGTGCTAGGGTTCTTTAAAGTCAACTTTATAAAGTTTTCGCGTAATATATGAGTTAATCTGGGTAAAGGCACTGTTAAATTGTGCCATCCCCCTGCGGAGTTTTATTATATTCATTACCTCGAGAAGGAGCTTGGGATCCTATCTGCTTTTACCTATGTTTTGATTGGCGTGTCATTTCAGGACCGTTGATGTTAGTGCGTTTAATGCTTTTGACGTCCGCATCTCATCACCACGTTGATGTGACCAACATGTGTCATCTAATTATGCTTTCAGGTTCAGCCAAATTTCTTTTTTTCCCGCTTGTTTGTTGTTATTTTTATCATGCTAGAATGCTGTTGAATCGAAATTGACGATTTTCAAATCTGTTCAGCTTTTGTGCCTAAGGTCTAAAGTTATTTTGAGCATGAGAACACGAAGCTTTTATAGTAATTAGGAGTTATTAAATTGTGCTTCAATTTAAGATCAAGTTTATGAATAAGTGGTAGTTTTAAAAACATTTCAGTGTTTTTGTTTATTTTTACTTTCGATCAATTATCAAAATTTTGAGTAATTATTTTCTCCAGAAAATTTAATCTATTTATCCTTACTCGCCTAAGAGTTTCTTTTTTGGGCTTACTTGACGAAAGCGTTTCGTTGCATTTCGTTCGAGTATGGGGGGCTAAATGTTTGCGAAGGGCGAATTTTTAAATATTTAGAAGCCTTAAAGGCGAATTGTCTTTTGCTAGCGAGACTTGGTCTATAACGGGGTGAAAATTAGATAGAAAGCAGATGAAATGCCACTTGCTAATCTGAGTGTATGGTCACCATTCTTACGCGTCCAGTAGACAGAGCTCTCAAACTTAGGATTCGATTTCTAATCCGTGGAGGCTCTATGGTGCTACATCGCTGTCCCAGAAAAGTTCTTGTAAACGTCCTCCTAAATGTATTTGGGAATTAAAACATCTCGAACTAGATGGCGGAGCACCCTGATTTGTATTGAAAACAAATAACTCCTTTTCTTGAATATAAATGACAAGTTTACGTTACATAAATACATACGTCAATAAGGACGAAATAGTCAAATAGAAGACTCTTTCTCTACGTATATTTGCTTGATGATGACAAAGTTTGAGAGGGTCTTCCCATTCACAATTAATGGCGAGGGTCCCTAGGTTTGGGTGTTCCTGTTGGTAGGTGGGATCTGAATCCCTCTTCAGCAAGTAGATATGTCCTCTTCGCAATGACAAGATTAGTTAGTTTAATTATTTGAATGATCATGAATAACACCCAATGAGCTCAATAATGTGGATTGTAGGGCGAAAAATATCAAACTTGTTAAGAAATGCTAAAGGATAGTCATAGGTCTGAAAGATTTGAATCCCTCGCGCCATTCAGAGTAACGATAATTTCCAATATTTTGATATTCGTTAGGTGATGTTGGGTTTCAAACGTTTTCCGGTGAGAATTTCGCGCTCTTTAATCTATCCACTATTCAGTATGAGGCACTGTTGTTGGCCAATTCAATTAAGTTGGAGCGTAGTGAGTGGAACGACCGACTGCGCTGATTAGGTCTAGCTAAGGTTGAATGGCAGCATTTGAGTTTCTCACAAACGAGCTTCCATTGCGATACACCTTTCTACCCGATAAGTAGAGCGTGCAAGTGTGCCACTTCCCTCCCCCCCCCCCTCTCTACAGCTCGTTACAATAGGTCAAATGCCACTTTATTATTGTAAACGATCTATAATTTTTATTACTGATAAGATAGAAGATAGAAAAGTAGTATCCTCTTAATAGGAATTCAAGCGTAATTTGAACCACTAAGCATAGATGAGTGGAAGAATATGCTAATTGTGTGGAGATGGTTGAGGTCATTATTCCCTCACCTAAAACGATTTGCAGTAGCACGTCCTAAAGATAGCTGGATCAGGTAGCTTAAAGGTCATAAGGACAATTTGCGGATCACAGGTTTCTTTATAAAATTACCTGAGCGCATATGTGCGTTTAGCTCCTGATCGTGTTGTCCACATCCGATCGCTTCTCTACATAGCCACTTATCATTTCTCATCTGCGGCCATGTTAACGCGAATTCTCCGACTAATGAGGAAAATGATAAAAGGAGACGCTTTGAACAAATATGGAAGAAATTTGTTTTCCTCTTAAACCGCTATGGAAGTTCCTTTGACCTCTATTAATCAGTGCAGAAAGTTGCTGAAGAATCGGGGCTTTCATTTGAAATAAAAATGCCAAAAAAACCATGTAGTCTCATCCAGACTAAAAGCAAATAATCTCAATTTCGTCCCATTTTCTTTCCCCCGATTTATGCTACTTTTATCAAGGTAGGAAATACTTCCTTCACTAAATGCAAATTCTTTAACTTCCAACCAATGCATGCTTAACGCCACCTTAGTCGTGATAAAATTCTCAAACTTTGCATTAAAACGATGCGATTACGATCTACTGGATGCAAGTTATATTATTACGGGGTGTGCGATAGACTTACGTCCACGTGGTGCACCCTGGGCAACGTATACTCATACGGCCAAAAAGTCTATTAACTGGCAGTTGACTTCCCACTTTAAACTACCAACACCCCACTGTATGCCATATTCGACCCCTTCCACAGTACTCATCTAGCCTTTTCTCTGCCTTTGTGTCTGTCTGTCTTTTACATCTGTGAATCGCTATTCTTTTCGCCTGTCGAATTCTTCTCACTTTTATGTTTCTCCCTTCTGTGAAGCCCGAAGTCAACTAAAGGGCTAATGATAACTATCAAAATGCCTGCCATTTGAAATA